GGGGGGGGGGGGCAGGAGACGGCCATCTCAAGGCACATCACGACCTACAGGCAACACCGGCAAGACCTGGGAAGGCAACCCGATTAGAAATGATACGGATAAAAACATTCAGAGTTGGGGTGGTCATGACAATTACAGTAATACAAGCTAATCGGAGAAGGTCGTTTCATATGTAAAGAAAATAAAGTAAGATTGCATATTCACTTCTTGTTGGTAAAGTTATTGTTTAGGGTATGACAGGGGAATAAATAGCCAATTCATGTAGCATGCTCACTGTAGTGTTGGGACAACCTTATCATATTGCATTTTTTAAAAGTGGTAGGCATGTATTGTGTTGTAATTTATTATCCAAATCGAACTTGTGAGGCGTTTATTTGTGTCAGGGTCCCTGGATATGTTATAGAATTGCTTTTGGCGTAGGGTAACAACACTATTTCTCAAGATTCCATGATTGTTGTTGATTTCCTTCATCAAATTACATCTTCCTCAACTTGATTTCCAGCAATCATGGACTATAGAACGAGTGGAAAAGATATACAGGAGGATGATATAATCTTAGTAAGTACATTCCTTTAATCTTAAGTGTATATCTTGATTTTAGCTTCTTTATTGAATACTAAATCTTTATGCCTTCCTATGTCTACTTTTGTATGTTTCTTTTTTGAAATCTATGCGAATTAAGTTTTGATTGCTACTTGTGTTGTCATTCTTCTGATCATAACTTCTCAATTTCGATGTACAACTTATGTGAGCTAAACTAGATAGGATTTCTCTGGTGCATTTTTGCTCTTTATCCAGCAGTTGACAAATTGTTGCTGTTTAGCTCCTTGGTGGGATAGATCATGATCACCTAATTGATATAAGAGTAAGATTTCATATATCCAGAACCAGAATGCGAGGAATGGATGATTTGGAGGGATATGAAGTAGTGATTAAGAGTGAAAAGTCGTAATTCGATAACCATCTTTAGTACCACCTTCATCTACAACATTTGTCACAAAAATGTCCCTTCTCTTCACAGAAATGGACCTAGCAATGAGGCAAATACACTAGTTCGTTCCCATGAAAATTGCAATATTTGACTAGCAAGTAGTTTAAGGAAGGTGTCTATCGTCTTAAATACACTTCAATTGTGAAAAAAACCCAACTAGTCTTGCTACGGTGGTTGGGACTTGCCGAGTACAACCTAGAGGCTCTTGATTTGAATCTTAAACACTTGTCCATAGCTTACTAAAGTATTGGGGGCGCTATAATGTGTGTGAGGCAAAAGTTTAACTCTCTTGGGTGGTTCGTAGGTCGTCTTGAAATAATTAGAAAACAATGAAATCTTGTGAGCCTACATTGATATCATTAATTCTTTAATAATGATGGCCAAAGTAGTAAAAAAGGCAAATGATGCAATATTTTCCACTCTACTCTTTGGGGTAGAGGCTAGGTTTGCTTGCATCTTACCCCTGACCCTACCTCCACTCCGGTGGGATATACCGGGGGTTTATGCAATATTCGCAACATATCCCAAAAATTCATGGATTGGAGGTAGTAAAACATTCTAAACACCAAAATTGAAATTGTATTGCTTTTCATGTTATCTTTCTGAAGATTGGACCTCTATTCTTTGCATTACTCTTTCTTCTTGGTTGACTGTGTGATGATCAATTGGGTTCTCCTTTGCCTATCTGGTGAGCAGTTGCGTCGAATATGCAGGATGTCTGGAGTGAGAGTGTCCATTGACACCCCTAATTCACGAGATTCAATTTATCGTGCATCTGTCGACTTCACTTTAAACACTTGTGGCAGGTACATATTTTTCATTTCGTCTTCAAGTATTCATTCTTTTGCTCTGCTTTTTAACAAGCTAATGTTTGCAGAATAGCAAGCCATTCTACGATAGTTCAGATTGATGGTGAGGATGCACGGGAATTCATCGCTGGGCTTGCTGATAACATAGGTCTTGAAAGCATTCGTGCTGCTAGAATGGTGGCTGCAGCTGTTGCTGCACGAACTCGCTCATGGCTCCTACAGGCTTGGGTGAGTTATATAGTATGCCTTTTACATGGGTGTTTTTTTCTTCTTACATATAGATTACAAATTTTTGTTGTTGTATATTATACTTCTCCCTGCACAAACTAGTAAGTTGCTACATGAAGACCAATTAAGGACCAAATGTAAGCATAAGAATGGTATTTCTGGTGGCCATGAGAGGAGGATCCAGAAAAATTTCCAACCAGGGGCTTGATATGATTAACATAATATAAAATAAACAAATATTAATTATAAGAAGTATGGTATTCCTTCTTTTCTGTTGTTGTTGCCAAAAAATTAAAAAAAGAGCCAGTGGGATTTGAACTTGCAACCTGTAATGTAATGACACTACCGGTACACTCCAACCACTTTTTGTTAACTCAGGGTAGTAGCAACAAATTAAAACGGTTGCACCTTTAAGACCCCTAATTTATTGTCCATTGCGTTGGGATGATAGAGCGGGGGCACAGGCACCCTCTAGGCTATTACTGAATCCGCCCCTGGTGGCCGTTATATACACCAAGCCTTTGAAGATGTGATTAAGGATAATTGATGTTTTGTTTCTTTGACTTTGGCCTCTTGACACATTGACATTGTTCCAGATACCATCTAATTTTTCAGGCTCTGGAAATGCAAGGTAAGCATATTGAAGCAGCAGGGGAATTATCAAAGTTGTGTCTGATTCACAGGATATTTCCGCCAGAAGAAGGCTCGGTAAGTTTTTTGGTCACAAAGTAAGCTTTGGGGATTCATTCTCCTTTTTGGTGATTCCAGTTTTTGACATAGATCAAATAAAAACATTGCCTCACCAACAATGATTCCAACTTAAGAGCATGTTTCTGTGGGTTGGTACATTTGTTATTTAGCTAAATTGTTTGCGCCAAATGATGCCATTTTTTGGGTTCTCAAATGGCGCATGTCGTGTAATCTGGGATCATATTTCGAAGAATGGTTTTGGATGGATCGTTGGTTGGTGGGCAACCCTCTGTGATTGCTACATTTGCGTACGGAGAAATGGAGGTGAAATAATTATTAGTTACAACTATGTGCAGCCTGAGATGGAGATGGTAGCTCGTGGCCTGGAAAAACATTTGAAATTGGAACAAAGAGAGTATTTGCTTAGGATGCTGATGGGTGTGTCCAGTGAAGAGAACCGCAGAAGTCTTGTTGAAGCTTTAGGTTTGGTAAGTTCAATCACTTCCACATCTTCAAAGTTATGAACTCCTCCGTCCAAAATAAACATCCACAATAAAAAAAGGCACATGGTCTTAGAAATGTGTAGTTATTACACTTTTTAATTTTAACTAAATGCCAATTTTACCCTTGATAAGAAGAAATAATGAATTTCTGCATGTCTTAGTTATGGGTATAATTGGAAAGTAGGCGGTTACTTTTGAAAGTGGACACTTATTTTTAGACAAACTAAAATAGAAATTTGTATACGTAGTTTGGGACGGACGGATGGAGTAATATGTACTCCCCTTATATAATAAATGCAAAATTTGATTACTTTTGATGATTTGTTAAATATCGAAAATACCCTTTGGTAATAATAGGTAGATGGATTTTGTGAACCAAAAATCAGCAGGAATTTGATGGATCAAGAAAAAAGAACATCTGTTAAAGAAAGATCTGTTTTATGTTGCAGGCAATGTCAGGCGGAAGCATTGGTGATCAACAAGAAAACATACGGAGTTAGTTTTTAAGAAATCATGTTGATGATGATGATGATGATGATAATGATGATGATCAATGATGATGATGATGATGATGATGATGTGATGATGATGAATTAGAAGTTTGAATATATGCTTGAGTTTAGGTTATGATGTTAGTTGCATTGCAGCTGATGAGTTATGCTCAAGAACCTTGAGATGGATGATGTATGACACCTCAGGTTTTCTGTTTTCTCCATCTTAAAATGTTATTTAACAGAATAGTATCATGCTATTTATAAGTATCTAAATGGTTGGTTACACACTTATATGAGATTTTGTTGCATCTAATGTAGATGGATGCAAAGATTTAATTTTTTTCATTGGTCTGCAAAAATAAGTCGGTCCCCGGTCCACCCGTACGGTCAGGGATGGGGATTCTCCGTTAAACCGAGGATGGGAATGGGAATCTCCATCTGTCTCAAACTGGGGATGGGATGGGGATGAGGACGGGGAGGGACATTATATATTAATAAATAAATAAATATATATTATTAGTTTCAACTAAAATGGTAATTCATAATTTATAATTTTCTAACTAGGTTTAGAATTTAAAGTTGTTATTCTTTTTGGATGTTAGTATGTAATATTTTGGATGTCAAGTCAAAATATAATTATGCAATATTGTTTAATTATTACTCGATATGGTTTTGGGTATTACACAATAGGTTTTGGTATGTATGATGTCAAGGTTTTTTTCTTATTAAATTGAATTTCTCTTGGTTTTAGATTATTAACTATGATATGAATTATGATGTTATGATATTTTTTGTATTAAATTAGATTTCTTTAAATTTTAGGTTTATTGAAAATATATAAGATTTAAGCATGTATGATATATTACATATTTGATGTCTCATATATTTGATTTAGAATAGCTTACATAAACGGAAAGAAAATTATCATTTCCCCGTCAAGGATCCCCATTTCTCGATGGAGACGGGAATTAAAGTCACAGTCCCATTCCTATGCCTAAAAATAAATGTCTTATAATTAAGAGTTTATAGAAATGATGGGCACAAAAGAATTGAATAAATGCATCTCACAAAAGGAATTTTATTAATTAAGCACAAAATCATGAAACAAATCCTAACCAATAAGAAAAATAAAGGATCAATAAATTACAGATTGTAATGTTCGGTTTTACATTTGTTGATTGGGTTTTGAAATAAATAATGATGGAAGGTTCAGGGGTAAAAAGCTTATGGTTGATGGAATGTGAGAGATCAAAAGGTGAGGGGGCGGGGGGGTCTAGTGGTTTTCATTCAAAGAAGAATGAAAGATTCAGATAAAGATTCGGTGAGATATCGAACGAGTTGAGTTTTTACAAAACTTTTGTAAAATGCGTGTTATTACGTTTCACAAATTTTACTTTGATACATGAAATTATGTGATGTATTTGAATTAAAAATATGTCCGTTAAAGGGTGCTCATCTCTCAAGCTTTGGGAGATGAGGGGATGTTCATTGCCCAAGCCTTTGCCCGGATAGACTTTTCATCGCTCAGGCCTTGGGCGGATAGTGTGCTCATCGCCCAAGCCTTGTTCGATGAGGGTGTTCCAAGCTTTGACCATTGTGTTTGTGCATCGTTTAAATCTGGTTAAGCAACGATAGATGGCGGGGCATCCGCAATAGTTGGCAGGTTAACTGCGATAGATGAAGAGGCATCCACGATAGATGGTGGGACATCCATGATAGTTGGCGGGTTAACCGCGATAGTTGGCAGGTTATCTGCGATAGTCGATAGATGGCGTGGCATCCATGATAGTTGGCAGGTTAACTGCAATAAGTAGCGGGGCATTCGCGATAGTTGGCAGGTTAACTGCAATAAGTGGCGGGACATCCACTATAATTCTAACATTGAGGTCAAAACTGAATTCATTAACATTTTGTTCTATTTGATGCAATAAGTTATATCAGAATGTGTTAAATGAATTATTAGGTTACTTGATGCGATAAATTGGTAATGTCTCATCTTTTAGATATGACAAAAGAAGTTTGTTATATCAAAAGGTTGTATACTTGTTATTATTATAAATATGAGTTTATAAATATGTTTGGTGATTATTCACACTGTAATAACATGCACTGAGAGAATTCACTTACTAGACCTTTCGGTCTAACCCTTATTTTTTATGTTTTAAATGGTGCATTACAGTTCAGGTAACCAGATGTTAAAGGAAAAGGAATTTATGAAGAGATTATATGATTGCCTGCATGTGAATATTTGGGATAATATGCTATAACTTGTACCTGCATGTTGCTTATAAGTTCAAGTTTTGTTTAGATATTTTGGTTGAAGAAAATATTTGATAGGTTCTTTTGGGATCGAATGTGTAAAGTTGTATTTCTTGTTATATAAAATACATAATTACATGAGTGTATGCAAATATAGGACCTGTGGTTATTACACATATAACAATAATCATGAAGTAGTAGTGCAATATTAACCAAATATATTCAATAGTAATTAAATTAACCAAATATATTCAATAGTAATTAAAGTAATAATAATCTAAAAGTAATTGATATAATTAATAATTATCATAAATAATTAATAAATGATATTAATAAACGATATATAATTAATAAATAATTAATATTTATTATATTAATAATGTTTAAATTTTATTAATATTTATTTATAATTAATAGTAATAAATAATAAATAATAATTAATATTAATAAAAATTATAATTGAAAATATGACAATAAACTATTAAAACGTCACTTGAAATTTTAATTAAATTAAAAAAATATTTTTTTCCTAAATGATGGCATGCCCCAGTGAAAGAGTGTCGGTGACGTGACCTTTTAAAATACAACCAACTCAATCTGAGGTGTAAAAATAACCCAACTCGAACTGAGTTTCAAATCAAACTCAGGGAACGAGTCACCGAGAGTTCTAGAAAACAAAAAGGAAGGTGAGGTGTCGGCAGCGTCTTGTCTTTGTGGTTGTGTGTGGGGGTCCATCATCGTCTTCAAAGCTACTGAAATATTTGCTTCATGTTTAATTCTCTTTTTAACATCCATCAGCTTTCATGATTCATTTCCTACACCCAACCCGATTCCAATCGATCAATCTCCACCCTCCATTTCAAAATCTCTATCGATCGAGGTACTTCACCTAACACAAATACCCTCTCTACCTTCCTTGCTTTGTAGCCAAACGAAAATCGCAACCAAGAACTTCCCACAAACTCAATCGTAATCTCCATCAAGCAAGCGACATTACATCGCAGTGAGTTACGCATTCGTTTTCCTTCTGTTTTAGTTCTTCTTTATATTACAAATAACCCTCTGTTCTTTCCAGAGTATCTGAGTTCTTGTGTTTCTCTCTTCCTCCCTCTGAAACCCTAACGGAACAAGAATTATTTCTGGGTATTATACTATTTTCACTATCTGGGTATCTCGCATTGATGTATTTAAGCTTCTTGAAAGCACTTTCTACTAAAATACCAGATAAAGAATAAATTTATCTTTACAATCTGTGCATTTTAGCATCTGGGTGTCTCTAATTTTTATGAAATTTCAATCATATTCACTGAAAACCCCCAAATGGGGTCGTTTAATTACTGGGTATTTGCTGTTTTTGGCTTTGTTTTATGTACACCATCTGGGTGTCGCCTAATTCTGTGTTATTTTCCAATTAACCTACTGCAATCCTTAGTTTTGTTTCTGGATGTTCTGTTCTTTTGCAGCACAAGATGAAAATGGAGGCAAAAAAGATATGCCTTCTGGTAATAGGTATGCTGTTTGTAATCCTTTCGATCGCCAATGCTGATTCTTCTGTGCCAGTATTGGTGAAGAAGGTGAAGGGGAAGAAAGTATGTGATAAAGGCTGGGAATGTAAAGGCTGGTCGGAATATTGTTGTAACCTTACAATTTCCGACTATTTCGACACCTACCAGTTTGAAGAACTGTTTGCAAAGAGAAATTCTCCGGTGGCTCATGCCGCCGGTTTCTGGGATTACAAGTCTTTTATCACAGCCTCTGCCCTTTATCAGCCCCATGGATTTGGTACAACCGGCAACAAGACTACTCAGATGAAGGAGGTTGCAGCATTTCTTGGCCATGTTGGCAGCCAAACTTCTTGTAAGTTCTTGATCTCCATGATTTACTTCTGTTATTTGATTATGAGAAATCTTGTTAGCCACTGATTAGATCTGGAAATCCAAGATTTGGAATTGAAGTTTGATCAATGGAAGCTCGTTGGTTCAAAATAAGAAGCGGTTTAGCGTATAGATCCCTTTACAGCACTTAAATGATTGCTTATTGACGTTTTAACAAATTTTTAGGACACTTTTGAAATAAACATTCTTTCAGACGTTGTAGTGTGTCATGATATTTGAGAACTTATGCTATTAGATTATAGCAATCTATAGTTTATTGTTGGTAAGTTAATATTAAGTTGATTGGTTGAAAAAGGTGGGTATGGAGTGGCAACCGGAGGACCGACAGCATGGGGATTATGCTACAACAAAGAAATGAGTCCAAGCCAAGATTATTGTGATGATTATTACAAGTACACTTACCCTTGTGCCCCTGGAGCTGGATACTATGGCCGCGGTGCTTTGCCCATCTATTGGTATCAATCAAATTTCCCTTAAGTGTTGGGTGCGTTTGGTATGCTGAACGGTACAACATAAAAACTTCTCATTTTTTATGTGACATCATGCTGGGACAGGACATGATCACATGACATGAGTGCATAAAAATGCATTTCTCTGTCCTTCCGAGATAGATGAAACAAAAATGAAGGAAATGATATAAAATTGGTAAATTAATAAATTACCCGTGTCAAATTAAAATATTCAAGAATTCTTTCACCCGCCTATCTACACGTTTGTTCTGTCCAGGCCCATGTCCTTACCCATCTGCATACCAAATGCACATACAGAATGGTTAGGAAGTATTCTAACGGACGGTTCTTGTTTGCGTTGTTTCAGGCAATACAACTATGGTAAAATCGGTGAAGCCCTGAAAGTAGACCTTTTGAATCACCCTGAATACATCGAGCAGAATGCCACCTTGGCCTTCCAGGCTGCAATTTACAGGTGGTTAACCCCGATGAAGAAGGGTCAGCCCTCGGCCCATGAGGCACTTGTGGGCACCTGGAAACCCACCAAAAACGATACTTCAGCCAAGAGATTCCCAGGATTCGGTACCACCATGAATGTCCTTTATGGTGATCGCACTTGTGGGAAAGGGGACAATGATGATATGAACGCCATCGTCTCCCATTACCTGTATTATCTTGATTTGATGGGTGTTGGCCGTGAGGAAGGTGGACCCCATGATGTGCTGACTTGTGCCGAGCAAGAACCGTTCAATCCATCGGCTCCTACCCAAGCATCTTCAAGGTAAGTGTGTTTTAACGCCATGGGATCGTTATAAAAGGTGTTTGCTGTGAGATTTGCAACTCCAAAGCTATAATAGCGTGAAAGCTCGTTACATTTGTGGGATGGTTTCTGTGTCGCTCCTCTGTTTATAGATTCAAATTCAGACTTGTCTGTATGGCGTGTTCTATGTAGTTTGTGAATTTTGGTGTTTTATGAACTACAGACATCGATGTTATAAAGAGAATATATCGGTATATATTGGTTACACACTTTTATTCGTTTTTTTTATGAACGTAAATCTTTACACAAGCGGTTTGGTGAATTGAGGTAGAGTTATGTCTGTACATATCATACCCTTCATATACAATCGTCCATATAGTTTCGTTTAATATGTTTTGGCTCCATGTTCACGCTTCTACACTAGAGATGAACTAGTGCAAAACCAATCTTGCAAACCAAAATTCAAGCCTTAGGGGTGTTTGAGATTGGTTATAAAAACAATTTATTGACTTATTTCGGTGTGACACTGATAATAAGTACTTTTGAGTGTTTGGATAAACAATTTATACTGGTGTCAAACCGGCAATAAGAAGTTTTTGAAAAAGTTAAACCCTTCTGATTTATAATAAGTTGATAAGTGTTTTTGTAGAAAAACATAAGTTGTTTCAAATAAGCAATCCTAAACGGTCCATGTTGTAGGTTTTTAACATAAAATCGTAGATAATGTTGAAGGATTAGAGCATCTACCGTTAGAAGAACATACACCAACCTTTAACCTTGTAAGTTTGTAACTCGACATCACATTTTCTTCTAACTCGAAGTATGGAGATGGACTTAGGAATTTTTTTCAAGTGGTGGGTACCCTTTGACTATAAAAATGAATATTTTTATAAAAATCATCATTGGTTTGTTGGTTAGTTCTTCGTTTTTCGTATATGAGGTACTGTGTTCGAGTTTTTTATTGCAAACTTCTTTTTCTCGGAAGCATCATATTTGAAACTAAAAGTTAAAAATTAAAGAAATGAAAGAAACATGATTTGAACTATAAGAGAATAGCCATGAAAACCAACTCTATTAAAAAATTTGTGTTATCAATGTAGTTTCAAAATATATACGGTGACACCTTTTATAACCCTAATTTTTTTACATTACGACAGAGGAACGAAGCAGAGTGTTGGTTCGCCCCTGACCCAAAAACACCTTCTTCGACGTCGTAAATCCGTAACCAGACACCACGTTCTTTATAACCGTAAACCACACACCCATCGAGAATCTATCGAGGACCCATCCATTGATTTAGTGTGTGTAGAAAACCATAACTCACCACATTTATTTTCCACCGAGAACCTATTAATTGATTTATTATGTGCTTGTGTGTGTAAAACCATAACCTACTACTTTCAGCTTATCGAGATGGATCGAGAACCCAACAAAGAAAAAAAAGAAAAAGAAAAACTAAAGTACGTAATGTTGAAACTATAACATAATCAAGATGAACAGTATTGATGCATGATGAATGTCATTGTGAAAATTAATATTTATGATAAATATCATACTGATGTATGAATACTAAAAAATTGTTGTGTACACATGAACGTACATGAAAACGCATGATGAATGTTATAGTGAAAATATATATTCATGAAGAACATCATACTGTTGTATAAATATTGATGAGTTGTTGTATACACGTGAATGTATATGAATATTCATGATGGATGTTATAGTAAAAATGTATATTAATGATCAATATCATATTGATGTATGAATACTGAAGAGTTATTGTATATACGTGAACATAAAATGGTAGTCATCATGAATATTACACAAGTATACCATTAATACAACACCAAAGTATTGTTGCTCGTTCTGGTAAAATTTTGAAGCACCCATCCGACTCCATTTCGTATGGATTCTTGGAGGAATACGTTTATTTTCCGCTGAGTTTATGGCTCTCGTATTCCAAGATATTATACACTAACTAATTATAATTATGGCAGGTTGCTGGCGTTGAAGGCTATGACAACATAACTACATACAAAAGAAGTACTGTTGTGTATGGAAGGTCTAACTACAGTGAACATATTCAATCTTACTTCGGTTGTTACAACTCATTGTCTTATCTTTTGTTCTTTCCCAACGGTGAGTCTGGATGGCATTCTTATATATTTAGGCGTGGAGTTTGCACCAATCAAATTGTTAATGCGAAGAAAACATCGAGGAAGATTTGAGAGGTATCTTCAGATTTTTTTACATTTTAAACATAAATGCCATCAATTTATATTTTTTCTCTCGTTATATATATATATATATATATATATATATATATATATTACACATAAGCTAATATAAGAAGGGGAAGGAAGGTATCTATGCGGGAATATTATTGTTACAAGTTCCAGATTCATTCGAATGATCATATAATTCTACTGGGGGGAAGATTGTTACAACAGTTCATGGTTGATGTCTACAGAAGGATTGAGACTTCACGTTTGGATTTATGTGAAATAACTAAGCCAAGATAAAAACAAATTTATACTAAGGTGTTGTGGATTACATGAATGTCGGTGAGGTTCAACCAAGTAGAGTTGGACAACCAATTGTGTTGTGTGCAAGTTTCATAAGAGGACCACGTGATATGCGACGACGATTTATGGATGCCATGACTTTGGTTCAAGATGACGGTGAGCCTGATATATTCCTTAGAATGACGTGCAATTCATAATGGCCTGAAATTGTTAGAGAGCTTTTGTGGGTCAGACTGCACAAGATCGACTAGACCTTGTTACAAGAGTTTTTCTTGCCAAGAGGATATGAAGAAGCAACTCTTCAAGAAGCACATCCTCGATGTTGTCGGTGCTTATGTTTATGTCATCGAGTTTCAAAAGCGTTATTTGCCACATGCACATTTCCGTAATGAAACCTGAGCACAAGATGACCAATCTAGATCCTTACGACAAGATCGTGAGGGCTGAAATTCCAGATCTCACAAAGTATCCCCAAATGCACCAGCTGGTCGTCTAACACATGATGCATGATCCTTGTGATCATTCACGACCGTTCAGTCCTTGCATGCAAGGTGAACCAAAAAAATGTCGATCTAGATATCCTAGGCAATTCAATGACAAGACGACATAGGTTGATGACTCATATCCATTGTATCGGCAGAGAAATAATGGAATATATGTAAATGTATGTGACAATACCCTTGATAATAGATGGGTGGTCCCGTATAACCCAAAGTTGCTAATGATGTTCAACTGTCATATCAGTGTTCAGGCTTGTTGAGTATAACATACATATGTGTTCAAGTATTTTTTACAAGGGTTATGACAAACAAGTTGTTCATATTAATCAAGAGGAAAGAGGGGTAGTTATAACAAGATTAAGAAGTTTCAATGCACGCATTATATCTCCCATCTCCAGGCAATATGACATTTTTAGCTTCACGCTTTCTTAAAACCACCCTATGTGATGGTTTTGCAACTCCATCTCCCTAATAGGTAGATTGTTAGATTCAAAGATGATGATTTAATGACAGATATTCTTGTTAAAGAGAGAGAGAGAGAGAGAGAGAGAGTAGACGGGAGTGTGAGATAATATTTGTACATGGATTTTTCGAAACACTATACGTGGAACCCGAGCACACGTTGGAATCCTCAGAGACAAGGATCAATGAAAAGAAGACTGATTTATGTTATTCCAGTTGAAGGAGAGTAGTACTACCTAAACATAAATTTGTCTCATATTAGTAAGCCTACTTGTTTTGAAGATCTATACAATGTCAATGGCTTGTTACATCTGACACTTTGTAAAACAACTCTTGGGAGGGGGTTAATAGAGACTGACAATAACTTTTATCTCAATGTCTTGTTGAAGCCTTAGTTTCCTAGTGTTATTAGGAGGTTGTTTGCAACGATATTAATTTTATTAGAGCCTAGAGGCATTCCGGACTTGACCAATACTATGACTCATTTTCTGAAGATTATAGGTGACAATGCAAAAGTCTTGACCAAGTTCAGAATATCTTAATTGATATGACAATGTTTCTACAACCTATGATTTCAATCTTCCAAAGGTGAATGCAGATGCAAATTTACAATTTGGAGGGTTTTGTGAGGTACAAGAGTACTCCATCGTTGTGGAAGATGAACAATTATGTACCCGAGACTTTTTCAATTCCAACCATAAATACACATAATAAAACCATGAAGCACAAGATCTTACAACTTTTGCAACCCCTAGTAACCATTGGATTAATGATAAACGGTTAATTTTATTTTTTATTTTTTATTTTTTTAAATTGAAAATATTAGGACCACATCTATTGTAACCATCGATCATGAAATTAATAGCTAAGATTTTGGTCGTAAGGGTTGTAAGTTTTAAAGGGGTTGTAAATTGAACCACCCTTACATATACATATACATATACATATACATATACATATACATATACATATACATATACATATACATATACATATACATATACATATATATATATATAGAGGAGCGTTCAAATAAAAACCGACTCCATTTGTGTAAACCAATCTCATCCATCCATTTTCTTGATCAATGACCAAAATTAGCTTACTTTATTTTAGAAAATTAAATAAAAATGTGTATTAAAAATTTATTTTATTTCAACAGTAAGAGCATAAATGGTAAACAAAATTTAATATTTGGTAACATCCTACTCGATCTTTCATGAATCTTTTTTCATGCAAAATTATTTTCTTTCAAGATTAGTTTACTTTCATGAATCTTTTTTCATGCAAAATTATTTTCTTCCTTTCGTTCCTGGTTTGATGCATTAATTCCTTTAAGCCTTGCAATCTTAAAGATTCTAAAACTTATTACAATCTTCAAGATTCTGTAGCAGTTTCTTCATGTACCCGTTTCATCATTCAATTATTCTATGACGAACCAAATACATTATGCAACCGTTTCACTAGTCATGCTCAAGAACGCCATGAACCAGTTTCACTTTCATGAAACCTACATGTACAGTAATTTTCTTATTTCACCACTGATTTGATGGATTCATTCCTTTAAGCCTTCCAATCTTCAAGATTCTGTAGCAGATTAAAATAATTTCCTCGTTTCATCATGCACTTATTCATGACGCATCAAATACAAAATGCACCGGTTTCATTTTCCTCTTCACCAACTAAATGGATCAACTACACAATCAATGCAACATGTTCACCATGAAAATGTTTCGGTTCACATAATTTATTTGCAACATGAACCAGTTTCACGTTCATGAARCYTGTTTCATTTCTGGATTTTTTTTTGTTCATCTACGATTTGATRATTTCATTATACACTTCAATTGTTTCATCAAGACCCGTTTGCTGATTCTTAAAGATTACAATATATGAAATTCAAATTTTTAATATTATAATATAATTAAATATTTAAATGTTACCATTTATATAATTTCATTTATTATGTTCCCTTAATTAAGATTTATTAATAACTTCCATATTTAATAAAAAATATTGCAAATGACTGAAATACCCTTATTGATTAATTTTAATTAGAAAAAAATGGAATTTTCCTATTGATCGAAATTGTTTACACAGTTTCTTAAAAATACACGGTTTTCATTTGAACGTGCCCATATATATATATATATATATATATATATATATATATATATATATATATATATGAGCGTTCAAATAAAAACTTGCCCCATTTGTGTAAACCGTGTAAACCAATCTCATCCGTCTATTTTCTTGATCAATGGCTAAGATTAGTTACTTTATTTTAGGAAATTAAAAAATAAAAAATATTAAAAAAAATATTTTATTTCAATGATAAGGGCAAATTGGTAAACAAAAGTTAACATCAATATAACATTAATTCCATAAACAAAAATTAACATTAATATAACATCAATGAACCATTTTATAATGAAATCTTTTCACATTAACATTAATTCCATAAAGAACAAAATATAATATGCACCCGTTTCATCATATATTTATTTCATTAAAGAACACAATACATTACGCACCCGTTTCATTTTCATCCTACCAACTAAACAGATCAACTTCAATCACAAAGCAATATGGATCATCATGAACCTAGATGTACATTCAATCACAAAGCAACAAGGATAACCATGAAACTTCAATCACAAAGCACCTATATTTTTAACACGTATAATATACATAGACGGAGCAAATAAACCATTTTACAATGGAACTTTTTCACATTGAAACAGTTTCATGACCATTGTTTTTTGAACTTTGTTTATGAAACTATTCATTACAATATTTTCATTAGGAAATAGAGAAATTATATTATTTCGATTTTTCAACTGTTTTGAAACGTTTGATGAAACCGTTGCATCAATAGTTCATTTTCCTTATTCCACTTATATGAACATGATTCATCATTATGAACCTTTTCATTATGAAACAGTTTCATGAAACCTTTTCATTAAAGTGGATAATATGCCTAAAGTATTAATTTGGACAATATGCCTAGAGTATTAGATTATGAACATGCTTCATCATTATGAACATTTTCATGAAATTTGCCCCATATGAAACAGTTTCATGAACTTTAGGAATGAAGTTCGCCCCCTATGAACGTTCCATATGAAACAGTTTCATTATGAAACATTTTTATTATGAATGCCCCATTCAAATCAAGTTTTTAATATTATAATATATTAAAATTTTTAATATGTTACCATTCAAGAAATTTCCATTATTAAATTTCCTTAGTTAATATTTATTAATAACTACCTTATTTATCATAAAAATATAGAAAATGACCAAAATACCCTTATTGATTAAATTTAATTAAAAAAAATGGAATTTTTCTATTGGTCGAACTTGGTTTACATGATTTCTTAAAATTGCATGGTTTTCATTTAAACCTGCCCCTATATATATATATATATATATATATATATATATATAATATATATATGTATAAAAGATCAAACATAGACCACAATAAAAAATAAGTAAATACAACTATCAACTCTCTGTGTCACAAACACTAATAACCAAATTATCAAAAGCCAAAAAGACTACGATAAAGGAATTTACTGTGACTAGAATGCCCACATAATATGGACTCAAATTCTCGTGTCCTCGAACCACATAAAATCATGTCTCATTCATTTTCCATCAATCACGTGAAGAAATGATTATTTCAATTAATTAAATTATGTTTTCGTCTTCATGGTCATCGAGCAAAATGTTGGTTCGTAAAGAAAAAAGCAGACAGAAAGTTGAAGATACCAACCAACTCATTTGTTGAATCAAATGAATAAAAACAAAGACATGAAGGTCTGTCTTGAAAACCTCATGCAATATCAAAAGAATCACCAGAAAACAAAACCAAATTCCACTCTATCCATAATTATCCCGACTTCAGCAAACAAAAACAGCCGGCACAAACTCAAACGCAAGAATCATACGTTATATGCATATTATATTTTATATATATATATATAGATGTGTTGTGTGTGTGTATAGATAGAGATGGAGATAGAATCTACAGATGAACACACCCATGCTTTCTTTTCGTTTCTACACCTCAGCTGCTGGTGCTGGTGCAGAAGAAGCCTTGAGAAGTGGCTGAAGAGCCTTCACCACAATGCTCATATTAGGCCTGAACTCAGACTCATACTGCACACACAATGCTGCCACAGCTGCCAACTGAATCAACACCACACATTTACAATTATTTCACCACCTTCCCAAACACTACTTTGCTATTATATATATATATATATATATATATATATATATATATATATACAGAGAGAGAGAGAGAGACCTTTGCAACTGCTTTTGGAGGATATTCTCCCTTGAGTTTTGGATCAACACATTGTTTAACTTTGTCTTCACTTAGCCTTGGAGTAGCCTATTTAACCACAAAGTAACATTAATCATTACAAATCTCTACACCATCTAATATTACAACATTTTCATCGTCTAATATGGTGCAACATGAAACAAACAAAGATAGTGATTATGAGTGACGGTAAATTGTGTAAATGAATAGCATCCTAACAATTCAATATATATATATATATATATGTGTGTGTGTGCGCGCGCGAAGGATTGTGTGAGAATAGGAATTAAACTGAGAAGTATAAGAAGGGATTTGGACCCTTGATCACTTTTAATCTCAAACCAACCCCCTACGAATTGCGCTGTAGAAGGGAATTGATCTGGTTCTTCTCATTAGTGTTGATCTAGTGGAACTCTTCAATTAGGATTGATCCAAGGGTGGAGATCCCTTCTTACCCTTCTCACCATGACTCTGATTCACACTGGAACCGAACCCTGTATGATTATCTGTTAAATAGTCTCTCTACTTATTTGAGATAGAGATAAAGTCAGCATATACCCTACCCTCCCCAGAACCTAGTCCTTGCGGAATTCACTGGGGTTCGTTTGGTTTTGAAAATAAGTGCTAGTCAAAACTTACCCAAGTGACAAGACTCTGCTGTCCACGAGGCATGGTGTGATCAACAGGCTTCCGGCCTGTTAGAAGCTCAAGCAGAACAACCCCAAAGCTATAAACATCACTCTTCTGTGTTAGCTGTCCAGTCATTGCATATCTACAAAAGAATTTCATTCAAAAGATTTAGATGAATAGAACTCTTAATTAAAAAATCATATGTAAACATGCAAAACTGTATGTCATCATCACTATACCACAGCATATGTTAAAAAGCAACACCTTTTATATATAAAAAGAATCCTTCATAGCCAACCTTGGGTCAACTAAATGTTTTGGTGATCTAATTCTTTTGGGTTCTATCAATTTAGTGCTCTGAGTTATCAGAAAATGCAATTAAATAACCTAAAAGAGATAAGGTTTAGAGACGTTACTCTGGTGCATGATAGCCAAAGGTACCCAGGACTCTAGTAGAATGCAAACGAGCGGCCATATCTGGTGACTGATTTGAAAGGTTAAAGTCGGCAATCTTGGCTTTCAAGTCTTCAAATAAGAGCACATTGCTCGACCTTATATCTCTGTGTATTATCGACAGTTGGGACTTCTCATGTAAGTACTCGAGTCCCCTTGCTGCATCCACAGCAATCCTTACCCGTTGCATCCAATCAAGCACTGGCCCTGGTTGTGCTCCTTGCACACCCTTCCTACCTGTCCGTGCACATATATTTTGAAAACTTCTTTTTGAAGTATATAATATCTATATACCGCAAATACCCACACACACTCCTCATCTTTCGTGAGGTTTGAACCCTTGACCTCCTGTGAGGCTGGGTCAATAACTTAGGTACCGCTAGGCCAATTATCTTTTTGCTATGTTCTGAAAACTTGCGGCAATAATTTATGCAACTCATTGACTCTAAAATTAAAGAAAAGTTGTTCACATACCATGCAAAATGTCGTGTAGAGATCCCATCGTTGCAAATTCATAAGCCAGGACACGTACATTTCCTTCGACACAGTAGCCAAGCAACTCGATAAGATTCTCATGCTTTAGCGTTGAGAACATGGAAACCTTCAGTTCAAAGACAAACGGACCGAGATTATTTACACAAAAACACACACAAAAAAGAACCATTTTGATGACATACAGAAGGAAAAAAGAACCGTTTTGACAACATATAGAAGTACAAAAAAAATGAATCATTTTGACAACATATAGAAACATAAAAAAGGAACCATTTTGGCAACATAAACTATTGCCGGTCTTTTAATTTGTACTGTTGTTGACATACCTGAGTCAAGAACTCATTATTCGATTCAGCCTCAGTAGAAACATCAAGTTTTTTCACAGCCACATTTTTTCCATTATTTAAGGTTGCAAAATAAACTCTTCCATATGAACCTTCACCAATCAGCGCCTTTGATCCAAAATCGTCAGTTTTTTCTTTCAGTTCTTCCAACGAAAGTGCAGGCACTTCCATCGGTGGCACTGCCTTTTGCACTTCAGACTTGATAGGAGATCCTTTCGAACCCTTTTGGTGCCCTGTATCACATGGTATATAAAAACTGTTACAAAATCATGCATGATTGAGCAATGGAACTATGAGCCTTGGGCCTCACAATCGTTACATATTCTATTAAAGGGCTTAATAATTATCAAATAAGGAAAACCTCGTGAAACAAATCAATGCAAGCAATGTTTGTAATGAAAATGTTTGACTAGCATAGTGTGGTTTTCAGTGTAAACCTTAAGATTCCATTTATTTACACCATTTCTTCCATTATTTATTCTCCATTTTGTGGCTCCCATCTCTATTTCTCCTCATATCCAGTGAATGAAAACGATGATATGCTCATTGCTCCTCGCATTAGATAGATAAGACCCACAAAATGAAAATGTTCTTTTTGACATGGTCAAAGAGACTAGAATTCACAACTACCATTGAACAAAATGAGAATGGTTAAATACAAACAATAGCAATATACTTTGGACCAATTTCATTTTAAGCAACGTACTTATTTTACACAAAATAGCAACATACTTTGATTTCTGTCCATTTCAGGCAAGGTACTTTCGTCATTTCAAAAAATCAAAGTTGTTGCCTAAAATGGAAGAAAAAAAGAGTACAATGCGTAAAATGGTCGGGAAAAAGAGTACACTGCGTAAAATGGGCGGAAAAAAGTACACTGCCTAAAATACATTGCTATTGTGTCCATCTAACCCAAATGGAACTAGCCTCAAATATGTTATCAGGTAGATACGTTGCTCTTGTGTCCATTTAAAATAAGTGACAAAAACAAATAAAGAGTGAGACATATCTACCTGATAACATGATGACAAGAATCTCCTAACATGATGGCCAATAGTGACCACGTATTGTAATCACAAATGACTAGATCAAAAATTCTAAGACCACTCGATATGCAATGTATACAAATGCAAACACAGGTATATCCACCATTTAATGCAATTATATATTTAGTGAATCAAATAAAAAAGAATTGCGTGACCCAAGTGCTAGGGCACACCCTAAATTATTGTTCAATCCCACCTCGATCATTTTCTTAAAGTCCTTGCTTCGTAAGGACTGTATTTGGCTAGTTTTTTTAATAATTGTTATAACGACATAGCCTTATACTTGATCATGTTTAGATAATCCATGTCGTATAAATTTTTTAAAATAGGTGACAAAAAGAATAAAGAAAAAAAAAAGAAGAGAAGCAGAGAGATAACAAAAGCCCTCATGAGAGCCATGGATACAATCATACAACACAATAAAAAAAACCCTCAACAAATTGGTTAAAGTCTAGGATAAAATGCCTAATTACAAATGGGGAAACTCGCAATAACCTATACGAGATACTAGAAAAAATCAAAGTTTTCTTTATAAATGCTACAAGAGGCAATGATTAATCGACCAAAATATGAGGATATCAATAAATGACATTTATTTTAATACTTACTTACAGGCAAACAATAAATCTTACCCAACAACAAAGCCATACACTTTTGGTTAGTATGCTATACTTCCTTATAAACATTTGAAGGTGTTCTTCTAGGATGTCCCACAAGAATTGCAAGATTTCCATTTTTTCGCATTGTCATACTTACCAATAAATAATGATATCAACTAAAATTCCCTTATTTCGTCATTGTTTATGGGCATATAGAACATTTTACTAATAATCACAGGTCAAACAGTGCAATTTCGATGGTATGGAGAAAGTAGTCGAGTACAATATGGTACACACTATTCATAATAACTCACGAGTCACAGTGTATCAGCCCTTCAAAGTTAAAATCAGAACCGATTAAAATGCATCAGATAGGGGATAAATAACATTAAAATTTCATAGAACTAAAGACAGCATTGCTAAAATCATGAAACAGTGTAGATAAAAGGGCGTACCATCCCCATGTTCCGTTGAATTCTTTACGAATTCATTGTCATTTGATGGTACAGATTCTTCGACTTGACAAGTACAGCACAACCACCTCCGCATCCTATATTAGTTCCTCGAAAGAAAAGACCGTTTTCAGCTCTCTGTTACCCCACATGCACAAAGCATCCAGGAGGTGCATGCACCTGCAGAACCACAAAAACAATTAGAAGACATCACTCCAAGACCTAGTGAAGCCTAACATACATCTCAGAATTACAAAATTAAGATCAGATTCTGTTGGGCATCCTAGCCTGTCTATATAAAACACTTGTATCATTAAGAGTTATCTAGAAAGTTTATTATCTACAAAGTCTTTTACCCCCACAAACAAATGAAGATATACTGCACGTTAATGATTCCAGTAATAAAAGAAAATGTTGCTGCCTATAAGGTTGTAGAATTATGGAGGTTGCATACATTTAGAATGACTAAAAACACATAACGAGTCCTATTGCTTAATTTGATAAGACACTTTACCAAAAACCGACACAGATTGCAGCTAGCTAGGACCACTTTCATTAAAATGGAGATAGTAGTGCTACATAAAGTATTGTTTATTAACAAATATAGGTATATTGATGTAGCTATGGCTGTGTTTATGCATATACCATTGACGACAAGATAACCCATGAAAAAAAGCACCAGATATTAATAACCTTTTATATATTCTGATCACTAAACCACGAAGATGAATGTTGCCATCTATCAAAAACAAGCGTGATCTAATACCACCAAACGAATCTACCCAAAAGACGAACACAAATCCAACAAAAAAACAAGGTTGGGTTTTAAGTTTCTGCAACAATCAACAATGTGATATTGGCACCACAAATCAGATTAGAATACAAAAATCAAAAAGAAAATCCCAATTGGCAAAAACAAACAAGCATCCAACCAAGAAAACCCAAATGGGGGATCAATCAAACGATTCAACCTTTAGCGTAAAAAACCTAAAAAAATCGAAGACGATCGGGTGAACCAAGGAGGGCGTCTTTCGATCAAGATGAATCAAACAATTGATCACAAAATTACAAGACTAAAAGCAGCCCTCAACAAACCCTCATTGAAATATCGAAAAGATCACAAATTGGAAATACAAATACCAAAACTAAAATCGCAAGATTACCCGACTTATCTGTCGCCTTGAAGTGTGTCGTTGGCTTTCTTGATTTAGGGTTTTGCGTTAATTATGGTTTGGAGGTGATTGAATATGAGGGAACACAGGTAAGCAAGAAAGATGCAGAGAAATATGATTGAGAGAGAGAAGAGGTGTGTTTAAATACTCTACCTCTCCTCCTAGTTTAGCTTTCTCTCTCCAAATGACAAGGGAAAACAGCCTAAAAGTGAAGAAAGAGATCGAAAGGGGCGGTGATGAATTTGGTTTTGAGAAGTCTTTGTCGTCAAACAACGTTTTTTTCCATTATTCCGATTTTTAGCACTTTTCAAAATGTCATGTTTTAATTCTTACGTGTTAATTATTACATTTTTTTCCATTAAAAAAAAACCATTTCTATTTTTATTGTTTAAAAATGCAATTTTTATATATAATTAAGGTATATAAATGGGTGAATATTTTACTTAATTATGAATTGTAATTGAATAAAAGATTTTCTAGTATATATACTAATTTAATATAATATCTCTTCATATCTTCTTATATTTCTGTCTAAAAAGTTATTAGATTATAATTACTTTATAACATGTTATCATCGATTAGGGTGGATATGGGTTCAGTTGGATAGCTTGGGGGATTGAATCAACCAACTCAATTATCGCATTTTTTAAAATTTCCAACCAAATCTAATCCTTAAAAAAGTATAACTGAATTTTTTGGAATAGAAAAATATAGGATATTTAAAAGTATTGTAACTATCTGTATTGATCTAAGAACAAAATACATTCAACAAAATTGAAGACTAGTTGAAGTGATGTCAAGAGCGTCACCAAAATCGAAGTGGTTTGTCATATAGCCAAAGAAAAGATCAATACAAAATAAAATTAAATAGTAGTCTGACAAATATTATTGTTGGCAAGTCGGATTTTGAAGTACAAACTTGTTTAGTAAATTTGGCGCACCAACCCTTCCTACACTCATCTTGTATGAGAGCATGAAGCATGTCAGCCAAAGTAAATTATAAAACACTATTTTTATTAATGTCATGCTTCATTTACTTTTCCTTTGGTATATAGCGATGGGAGAGGTTAACAAGTGTCAACATCAACTACAAATGCTTAAATGAAGAGTACAAGCATGCATTGATCAACAAATCAGATCAAGACATGCGTTTAAGTTGGACATTAGCATTTAATGCAATAGTGGCTATAAAAAGTCACATTTGTCATTCACTGGTACTCACTCTTTTTCACTGAAAATCTTTGTGATCGTTTCTTATGCAAAATCAGCGTGAACATCTGAAGAACTATCTTAGTCCTTCGAATCTGAAAGTGTACTTTCTTCCTTCATTCTTTTAATGTCAACAAATTTCTCACTAGTCAGATTATTTAGGATCACATGCCTTACATTCATAGCTTTCGTAACAAATCTGTAATTCTTTGTTTTATACAAAATATAGAATTAAAACGTGAAAAACTGTTGCGTTTGTAGTCAATCCTTCTTCAACAAACACTTCATGTGTAAATCATCACTTCCCAAGACTAACAAATGGTATCAGAGCGGTCTCTTTAATCTCATAAACAAGATCTGAAATGACTTACATAGCCAATGACAATGGCTCTCTATCCGAATCTACTCGCTTTCAAAAATATAATTTTTCTTTTTGGAGAAATCGGATGACACTCTTTCTTGAAGGAGTTTGACAACCAAATCCTACATGTCCTAAAAAATGGTCCATATGTTCCCACTTCTTTTATGCCTGATATTAGAGATGAAATTGGCAAAGTCACTGAACCAGAAAGACAAATAATCAAGACACCGATATGTGGTCAGAAGAAGACAAGAAGCTAATTGCAGTTGACACCAAAGTCAAATCTATCATTGTTATGTCTCTTCCTGATGATGTCTGTCACTCTATCATGAATCTTACCACTACAAGAGACATGTGGAACACTCTCACTATTCTATATAAAGGGACGTCTGAAGTAAAACAAAGCAAAAGAATCAGTCCTATAGACAATTATGAGCAAACTAAGGTACTAAAGAGAAATGTCTTTCATGAAACAAAAGGTTAAATATTGCTTTTGTTCCCTCTGATTCTAAGAGAATAATATCTATTTCAAATGGTTCATATAACAAAGACTCTGACATCTCGAATGATCGCAATGATAAATATTCTTTTAATCTCAATGGAGATTATGATGATGAGACTGAAGATTTATCAATTCAAGACATAAGTGACTTTTAGGGACTGTAATGCCCCAACACATTGCATGTAATACATATTTCATACAAAGGAAATACATATTATTATCTCATTC